TGTGAATTAATTTTTTAAGAACCATTGGCTCAGTATTTAGAGTTTCAAGTTTTTCGTTTCTGATTTTCAGAAAAAAGTATGTATTAAGTCAATTTTTCCCCTAAACATATACTTCCTCAAAAAAAGTTTTCTCTCATCAAAAAAAAATCCTAAAATTTGAAATATCACTATTAGAATTCATTTTATGCTAAACCAATGACAAATATTAAAATATAACTACCTCAGTTAGTATTAGGTTTTTATGTAAGAATTTTAAAAAGTAGCTAAAATATAAATAGACATTTATTTCTTTTATGCATATAAAGTCCATGGGAGGCACTTATATGGTGGCTCCAACTTTCTCAGGGACTCAAGTCCATTTAGGTCTCTTCTCTGTCCTGTCAAGGTTACATGAATATAATCTGGTCCAATATGGCCACTACAGCTCCAGCCATCACATCCAAGTTCTAAGCATCAGCGTGAAAAAAGGAAAGAGAACCAAGTTATGCCCCTACTTTTCAAGAAGAGTTCTTGTAAGTCCTAGTATTTTACTAGCTACGAAAGAGCCCATAGATTTTAACCGGGAAATCATGTACCCAGCTAAAACTTGATTCCTCCTTAATTTGAGAGATTTGGGCAGAATAACTGTAGGTAGGGGACTAGCTGTCTCTGCCAGACTCTGGAAGGGATATTACTTCATCAATCATTAGCCTTGGTGTGAATAAGTCTATCGGCTCCTTTTTGAAAGTGAGATTTCATAGCTGAGGAAGACTGGAGAGTACATGAGGGTGCTAAGCAGGGGAAAGTAAAGGCTTCTGACCAGGGTGGATAGAAGATATTAAATACAAACAACCTCTATTTTACAATTTTGCTCAGAGCCAATATCAGCCCCAACTCCATCTTTCTTATTTATTCATTTGTCCATTTAAAGAATTTGGATTCTTTACCAACAGGGAAGGGTCATGTATCGCCTATATTTATTTTGTTTCAAAGGACCAAATTAATTTTTTAAAGATTTAATCACTTTGGTTGTGTTCTGTCTCTTCTTTTATAGAGAAACACCTTCTAATGCCAAGATGGTTTCAGATTCCCATGGTTATTATATTCATCTTTGTGAGTTTGTCTCTCCCTTCCGCATGAACCCAAAGGGCATGGAAAAATGGTATCATATTGATAAGTCATGATGTCTTCCAAGACATTCTTTAAATCTCCTATGTGCAAATATAGTCAAAATGAATAATTCAGGCCAATTGGAGTGAACTTTCCTCCATGGATGTTTGGGGTGAAACTAACTGGCTTTGCAAAGTAGTTCTCTTTATAAATCAACAACATTTCTTTACGACGTGTCTGGCTGACAGGCCAATTTCATAAGTAATTTAAGTATATGTATTTAGTACTTTTCAGCGCTTTCGCTTTTAGAACTTACTTACAGGGCAAAGCAGTTGACCATGCCACACCTTGTCAAGATCACCGACAGAAACATAAATTTCTCAGATTCCAAAAATTTTACTCAATTCTAGCTACCTCACCTTTCATATTTTGATGCATTCAATCACAATAAAACAGAAATTTTAGAAGGATATTGGAGGAGGAAAGAGATGGTAGAAAAAGAAAAGATGAAATCAATTTGAAATTTTATCATGTTTAGTGGGTTTGCTGCAGAGAAAATATTTGTAATGCACACATACCTGCATGCATAAACATTCATCCCTAATCAGAATGGTGATGTGACTGCAAACCGAACACCATCTGGCCTCTCGGGGCAGCTTTCCCTTTCACCCTGCACCCGTTATACCACCCCAATTCCCACTGAGCCACCCCCACCCCTGTTAGCAATGTAGATTTTTACTAAGGATGTTAGTGAAATCATGAAAAGAATCCATATTGCTTATTGCACAGAGGAAAACTTCATCTAGAAAACCACTTACATTAAAATAAAATGATCCCTGTCACTTAAGGAAACAATGTTGTCTTCAGTAGCCCCAATCACTCTCCTGCTTTTTCTGTCTCAGAGGTTTCCTCTTCTTCTGTGCCCTCTTCCCCTCCTCCCTTTTGCCTCTTCTCCTAAAGGATAGCAGAGAGGCTGGTGAGGGCTTAGATACCTTCCCGTGGGGCATATGAATCATACATTAGATCAGGGATAAAAACTAAAGGGAAGAAGCTCTACCAGTGGAATTTTAGGCAGAATGAATAATGGAAAGAGCTGAGTATTGGAGCCAAAGAGAGCTGGAGTTGATTCACAGTTCTGTCATTGAGAAACTGGCTGTCTTGGGCAAGTTACCTGTCTTTTCTGAGTCATAGTTTCTTCATTTATAAAATTGAAATAATAATACCTCCCTTGTAATCATTTGAGAATTAACTGAAATCATGTATATAAAAATTAGTACAATATCTGATGCATAGCTGACATTCAATAAATATTAGTTCTCTTACCTTATTACAAAGGAAATGAAGGAAGGAGTTATTGGGACAAGTCGTGGAGCTTTCTCATTATTCTAATCTGCAGGGAATAGTGTGTGTGTGAGTGTGTGTGAGAGAGAGAAGTGGGGAGGAAAGGAGAGAGAGCAAGCAAATTTAGGGGAAGTAAGTTAATTTGATTGCACTGATTCTTCCAATCTGTGTTCTTAACCACTTTTGATGTCTGCAACTTCCTGATATCAAGGAAAATGGGAAACTAGAACAGGACATCCTTGGTGAACAAGAAATCAAAACTAACAGAGCAGGGTGGTTGGAGGGATTATTTCACCCATTTGCTGATAAAATCTAATAAAATAATTTTACCAGATTCCTTGTGATCTCTAGAACCACTTTCTCTTTTAGATGTTGCTGATCAAGTGATACATTTTGTTGCTCTAAGCTTCATTTTCAGTGCTGGCCGCTCTGGGGCCAACACATTCTTTTGTCACATGTGTTAATATCACTGTCTTAGGATCTGTCAAAATGAATAATAACTTTCTTCTCCGTGCCAGACCTGATTTGATAGTCTTAACTGCAGCAATTCAGACCTTTCTCAGCACCAAAATACAGGAACTAGGCACAGATCTCACAGCTGTTTTTGTCCTTTATCAAGACAATGCCCAAACAGTGTTTCAATATTACCAGCACTGCTGTCTTTGCTCTGCCTGAACTCAAGTGTCTGCCATGATCTGCAGGGTCCAGCTCCAATCAGGCACTGCTCCTCCAGTGACTGGGAACGGATGCTTCAGAGCCTCTAATCCAGATCCAGGTCATCCTTCAGGAAATGAAGATGGTCCTAAGGCTTCTGAAAATAATCTTTGTTGAGGTTAGATTGTAGACCCGGGGCAAAAATGACTCATGCTTTCCCCCAAGTTAACTCCTTAGGCTTCTGCCCATAATGAAATCTTATCAGCTTTTTATTTTGGTTTGTTTGGGAAAATCATCGGCCATGTTTTTATAAAAAAAAAAAATTTGAAAGATCAATAAATAGATAATATAGATATATATAAATAGATATACTATATATAGCTACATAAATAAGATAGTGAGCATGATAGCTATAAAAAGCTCATCAAGCAAAGTCTGAGCTTCTTCATCCCAGAGAGGATCCGCAGATATCTCACCAGGAAAGGTAGAGGCCTGGTTTGCATTCTTGGCTTGACAATTATGGCCATGATTTATTAATACTCCAGTCTCATAATAAAGAAAAGTGGATCCTAGATAGGTTATAAGACATTTACTTTCCCTCTGAGGGTTTTCCTGATAATTCTTATAATATTCTCTGTTGAGTTATTCTTCTATGGAGGTTCTTAACCTTGGTCCCATGGACACTGAAGAAGTATGGCATATTACTATATCTCAAGTAAAATATATATAACAACTAAAAATATTTAATAAATTATTTCAATAAAATTAGTTTCACTTGCGATAAGAATTTTATTTTTTGCCTTGAAAATCATTATTATGAGAAGAGCTCCATAGGCTTCAAAGAACTGTCACAGGGATCCATGGCACTAAAACAGCAGTCCCTAACTTTTCGACACCAGGGATGGATCCTCCTGTGAGAATCTAATGCCTGATGATCTGAGGTGGAGCTGAGGCGGTGATGCTAGTGCTGGGGAGTGACTGCAAATACATTGATGAAGCTTTGCTCGCTCGCCCACTGCTCACCTCCTGCTGTACAGCCAGGTTCCTAACAGGCCATGGACCAGTATCGGTTGGGGAACCCTGCACTAAAATATTAAGAATCTCATAAATATTAATCTAATTTTTGTAGTTCTTGGTTTTCTTATGATCTCACCACCATGCCTCTGATGGTTTGTGTCATACAGATGTATGATTTGCTGTAATTGTCGATCTTTCTTTGGGCAGAACACTACTTTCAATATGGTAACAGTGCAATTCATGATAGAAATTTTCTTTAAATTTATTTCAACACTTACCAAACAAATCCTATGTGCTAGTCGCTATGCTAGCCAAAGAAGATACTAGGTCAAAAACAAACAAACAAACAAACAAACAAAACCCACTGTTTCTTATCAACTTACAGTCTAACAAGGGTGTGTGTTTAATAAGTTCTCGCTTTGTGTTTCCCCCACAGATCTCAGAGGCATCTGGGGTTTAATGGGGACTTTCCGGCATTCCAGACTGCTGCTCTGCAGTGAAGCTCTGAGTCACAGTCACTGGGTCTAAGGTGCTGGCCACAATGTGGAATCCCAGGACAGTCACTCTTACTGACCTTCACTCTAAAAAGAAGCCCAGATGAGTCTGGCCTGGAATCAGTGCAAGCACTA